TCTGTTTTATTTTTAATTGGTGAATTGAGACCATTAACATTGATGATTATGATTGGTATGTACTGAGTTATCCATGTCATGATCTTTTTTTTTTATTCAATTTTTCACACACAAACTGCATTTAATTTTTTGCCTGGCCTGACAGATTAATTCTGTGGGACTGCATGGAGTTGTGGAATGCTGTTTTTTTATTCAAGGCATTCCTTGGATTCTCTTTGTTATGAAATTATATTATTTTTCTATTGATTTTGAAAGATAGATTTACAGGATGTATCTATTTGCATTGCAGCTTATTTTCTTTTAGGGTTTGAAGTATGTCATTCCAAGCTCTTCTTGACTCGAGGCTTTTTGTTGAGAATTGTGCTGTGGCTCTAATGGGCTATGCTTTGTATGGGATTTGTTTGTTTTCTCTGTTCTTAGCATTTTTTCTTGCTTGTATTGCTGGAATATTGACTATTCTATACCTAGGTGTAGATATTTTTGTCACAGCTAGAAGGAGATCTATGAGACTCATTTATCTTCATGTTAAATTCCTTTTTCTTGTTTTTGAATAATTCTGCAATTATTTCTTTAAAAGAATTTTTATGTGTTTTGTGCTATTTCTTACTCCATTGCCTCTCATCAATCTTAAATTATTCTTTTTTGCAACTTCCAGTAACTGTTGGATCAATTTCTCATGATTCCTGACTACATTTAATAAATTTTTCTTCTCACGTTGCCTGACCACCATCCTTTCTTCTATCTATGAAATTCTGCTCCGACATTCATGTGTTCTACTGTGGAAACATTTAATGGAATTATTAATTTCTTGGATATCTGCTTTGATGAGTTTTATGTCTTCCAATTCTTTCCTATGTTGGGTACTCAAGGATTCTACCATTTTCCTCAATTCTTATTTTTTTAACTGTATCCTCTCTAGAGTTTTAAACCATTTCTTTCTTTTTGGTCACCATCTCTCCTGTTATTAAAAAAATTAGTTCTGATTTAAGTTTTTCCAGAGACTCTTTCATTACCTTCCTTCTGTACATTGTGGTTAGCTTATATGGTTGACACTTGTTCCATCTCTGCCCTCTGGATTTGATTTAAGTCATCTGGAAGTTTTAGTTTGCATCTTGTTTAGGTGTCTTCTCATTTATATTTGTCATTGCTGTTTTGTTTTTTATGTATTTTTATTCTTGGCTTGGTACTTCTATATTTATTTTTATTGTGAGCATCTTTATTCCAGCATTTAGCACCCATATGGAATATCTCTGTCTGAAAAGTTGCTTCCAGTTATAGCTGATTTTAGGATTTTGAGTCTGTAATGACCCTTAACCAGTCTCAGTTTCAGTATATCAAGAAGAACAACTGACTTGGGTAATCACATCACCTCAGCCAAAGTATATCATTCACCATTGACAATAGCCTCAAAGACAGCTTAGAAAATGAAAACTGTTGGTAACTATTTATGTTTTATCCTCTACTGCATGAACTTGACTTGAAATTATATATCAAATTCTAGGGCCAATCAGAATTATATAGGAAATAAGCCCTTTGGCATAGTGAATGTACCTTCCAGGAAGAAGATTTAGAATGAGTTGGGGGATAGAGAAATAGGAGATGGAAAGTTGAGAATTAGAGTTACAGGACACAGGAAGACCACAGAAACTTTGATAAACTGTGGAAGATAGGAGGAAGAGAGAATTAAGGAATAAAAGTAAGAAGAAAACAAACTAATAGTAACAGGAGTACTAGAAAGCATATTCACGCTGTTATAGAAATAAGAGCAATAAAGAAAAAATGAAAAGGAAAAACAGGCACACAATGGAGAGAACTTAAGTAGAGGAATAGAGGAAAACAAAAGAAAAGAGAGGACAAGGAAGAAAAGTAAAAGAAAAATAGTTTTCTTCAAGACATGTCTCTGCTGTCACTGGTAGACAATGTGGGAGATGCAGGTCTGAGTCAGTTATTCTTGGCCAGCCAGCTGTAGTCTACTGAGATTCAGACTAGTTTCTGTCTCTGAGGTCAGAATTGAGCTCTCTGACCTCCTGTGGAGTGGAACTCCGGAGGGTTCTGCTGAGGTTCAAGCTGCCCCTCCCCCACAACCAGTCCGGATTCGGTTAAGAGGGGCTGATCTCACCCATTCACCGACCACTGTAGTCTGCTGGATCTTTATTACAGAGGCTATCTGCTCTCCCAGTGGGCTTCAATTCTATGCCACAAGCATTTGAGAGGCCCTCTCTCTGCCACTCATCACTCTGTCATCTTCCTGAGCTCAGAACTTTGGTCTTCTTGCTCTCTACCTGTTCTGGCCCCCACTCTTGCTCACCGGCAGGCAGCCCCAGCTATTGAAGAATGGGGTGCAGCCTTGAGCCCTGACTACTGAAGGATCTTTATTTACATTTTTTTTCTACCAGGGTCAAGACCAGAATACCTGGAAGTGTTCATTATAGAAAGGGCAGGATGTGTGGAAGAAAAACCTAGCAAGATGAAAGAAAAATGGAGCATCTTCATTTGGAAAATTAAAAACCCAATAAGAGATCCGTGTACTCACTGACTTAGTACTATGTTGGCTGTTGGTTTTGCCTATTATTCTTCTCCCTAAACTGTTAAAATCTCTATATTGAGAATATTATACTGCATTGTAATTTTGCTATTTGCTTTCTTAATTAACATTTTTGTTGGTGGTTGGATGTTTTCATCAATACTCACATGATGTACATGATGTCTATGATCATCTAAGGGAGGAGGTAATTAATATATCTTGAATGTTTTATTCCCTCTCACCTCTGCACTGTTCTCTTTTCCTCTGTCTCTAGATCTTCTTCCACATTACTTTTTATTATTATTACTATTTTTATTATTTCGTGTTTAGTTTGTATTTGTGACATATGATGAGGATAAACATATAAAACATGAAAATATGCTTGAGTGACAATTACTTTGAGAAAGGAAGAGAAGTGTAGTGTAATACCAGTGGATCAATTCAGTACAGATAAAAAAGACAGAAAGTTGATACAGCAGAACATTTGTTAACATCGAACTTTTTTTTTTTTTTGTACCAGGGATCAGACTCAAGTCCTTTTGCTTGTGAAGCACGCAGCAGAAGCACTGAGCTAAATCCCTGGCCCAACATTTGTCAATTTTGAAATTGCCTGAATAATGGCATTTTATAATTATGTAAAATTATTATTACAATATTTATTCTGATGTTACAATTTTAAATATTCTGTGATTTTATGAAATACAACAGATCATTTCAGTATGTACCTGCTTGGTATGTCTTCGGTCTACACTTCTTTTCCCAGGGGGCTCCTTACCATAAAGAGAGATGACATCAAAGCTCTTCAGCTTGACTGTGACTGCACAGGTTACAGAAAGATATGGTGAAATTGACCAAAAATTTTTATGTTTCCCCTCCATCACAATGAAGGTGCAATAAGATACTTGAGAATATAATCATACTCTTTCTTGTATGAGGAGATTTTATACTGATAATTTATATTTGCTGCTGACAAATAAATAAAGGAGAAGTCCTGAAGAATGAGACCTGCATTGAGTAATTTTACAAAGATGAGACATAATATATAGCAGTGATGACAGACAAGAACCATAGGGATAACTTGATAGTGTTCATCTTCTACATATTTTGTGCTCATGTCCTTTACTCAGACAAAATTGTATTAAATTCCTGCCATGTTTCTAAAAAGTACCCCAAGGGCTTTGGGTTACTTAAATGGCAAAAGTGTGAAGAGAAGCTTGTCAACTCCCCTGATTTTTGGTTATACAGAAGGTGAGTTCTCAGCAAGGGCTCTGGGGAGCCAGGCACCATGCCCTTGGCCAAAGAGATAAACTCTGAGGGGATCCTCAGGTGTGGCTTCCCAGCTGGAGAGGACTAAAGAGGGAGGTGGTCACATACAGCATATTTGTACTTCCTGTATCCCTGGAGACTCAATATCCAAAGCTCCTCATTAACCAAAAACTGTTTTCTCATCAAGATCAGAGCACATTAAAAATGTTTAAATATTAACTCTCTAGAAAGATAAAATTCAAGATGTTCAAATCCCTTAACTGTAAAACCAATTTATTCACCCAATTCTTCCCAACCATTTGTGCTTATATACATTGCATGCACCACACAAAAAGGTTCAGGTACCACTCTTCTCCATCACAGTTCTAGCCTTATTATACAGATAAAAATAATGTTGTTGAAGCCTGATTCTAGTATTTTATGTGAAGGATTAGATTTTACATGTAGGCATACAAAATATCACAAAATGTTTCCTGAGCCTTAATATTCGTTCTGAACATTTAGTTCAGCAGATTACACATGAGATCTTACTTAATTCTGTAATAAAGAAATATATATGGGCTAATATTTTGTAATTTCACAGCTACCTTCTCCAAATTCACAAAATTTGTCCCAGATAATATTTTACTTCACATGAGGGGATAAATTTGTGACTCTTGATTTTTTATAGAATAATGAGAAATTACAATGTCATTGCCAATAGTAATGTGTTAGCTTACAATGATCTCAGTTGATGTAATGAAATATCAGCTACAGTTAATAGTTGAAGAACTTATTACATATTATTGCTTAAATCAAATCTTTATTTTATTTTATTTTATTTTTGGTACCTGGGATCGAACTCCGGTCCTTGTGCTTGTGAGACATGTGGTGGAACCACTGAGCGAAATCCCCGGCCCTAATGAATTCAACCTAATGAAATGTCAAGATATTTAGCCTCATGCTGACTCTTTCAGAATACATTTCTTAAATAGAATGATGCTATAGTCTATCTTTTAATATCAATATAAGACAAGACGGCATTTTTAGATCATCCTGTAGAACCTCATCCCAATTTATTTCAAACACATGCCATAACACAAAAATTATAACATGACAGCTCATTGCATAAAAGTTTGTACATAAAACTATTTGTTCATCATCACAGATCTAGAAAAAAAAAGGTCAGGCAACAAACACAAAATAAAAGAAACTTCGTTCTTATGTAATCTCATAATTTTGGACTGTGGCAGTGGCAGAGCCAGGAATTTTCTTTCATGAAGTATTCAGTCACTTTGAATTCCTTTCGTCCTGTAGGTCCAAAGCCAATGAAACAACACAGAAAAGAGAGTATTCTGCCAATGAGTTTTCTCAGTGCTTCCTTCATTTCTCTGTTCCTCAGGCTGTAGATAAAGGGGTTCAGCATTTGAGGAACTACAGAATACATCACTGAAGCCACTGCAGTCTTCCTGATTGAATCACTAATTGCAGCACTGAAGTACACCGCACATCCTGTCCCATAGAACAAGGACACAACAGACAGGTGAGACCCACAGGTAGAAAAGGCTTTATATTTTACTCCCTGTGATGGCATTCCTAAAACAGAGGACATGATGTGGATATAAGAGAAAATGATTCCACCAAGACAAATAGCACCAACTATGCAGAATGAAACATAGATAAGGATGTTATCAATGACAGTATCAGAACAGGCAATCTTGATGACCTGAGCAAGTTCGCAGAAGAAGTGAGGAATTTCCTGTTCTGTGCAAAAGGACAGCCGCAGTGCCATCAGACTGTGGATCTGGGCATCCCCAGTGCTAACCAACAAAGAGATAAAAACTAGCAGGACACAGAGGCGGGGACTCATAATGACTGTGTATCTCAGTGGATGACAAATGGCCACATAGCGGTCATAGGCCATCACTGCAAGGAGAAAATTTTCCAAGTATGCAAAAATTAAGAAAAAACTAACCTGTGTGAAGCAGCCTTTGTAAGAGATACTCTTAGTCTGTGTTTGGATGTTAACCAGCATCTTTGGAATGGTGGTAGTGCTTATGCAGATGTCAGTGAAGGACAGGCTGGACAGTAAAAAGTACATGGGGGTGTGGAGTTGGGAGTCAGAACTGACAGCCAGGATGATGAGCAGGTTTCCCAGGATGGTGACCAGGTAAATGGACAGGAAAACACTGAAGATGAGGGGCTGAAGCTCTGGATCATCTGTCAGTCCCAAAAGTAGGAATTCGGAGAAAGCGGTTTGATTTTGGGGTTGCATATTCTCCATGGATCTAATGGAAGTGATAAGATGAAAATTATGTGAAAAAATGAATTACATACAAGGAGAAAATGATTTTTCTGGAAATATAGTAGTCATAATTTTTTTGTGCAAGTCACTTCTGAAAAGCCTGGAGATGAAAATCAGTAAACTATGTTTTATGATTCATAATATATTAAATACCTCTAAATTTTGACAATCATTGCTTTAAGAAATATTTTTAAATTATATCAGCCTCATACTCAACTCGCTGACATTCTCTCTGCTCATGTCTTATCTCAAATCTACTCCAACTTCTGTTGTATTGATTTAACACCAACTTTTCTTTACATTTTAGTGACAAAAATTGACAGTTACAGAAAACAAGACAGACTGCTTCAGACATATTCCATGCCCTCATTAATAAAGTAAAGTGAGGAGAGAAAAATAATATGACATACAGAAAAAAATGAGACATATAGGGTTCGAATGAGCTATGAGCAAAAAATTCTACAACTAGGTTTATAATAGCCAAAATCCCAGAAACCCAATGGAACAACATAGTACTACATGTACTTAGAGAAAAGAAACAAATTGCATACAAAGGAAAGCCCTTCAAGATCACAGAAGACATTTCAACACAGACCTTATAGTAAAGGAGAGCCTGTAGTGACTTATTTGAAGCCCTAGAAGAAAACAACCTCCAACCTAGATTGAAGTAGCTTTCAAAATTGGTGGGGAAATAAGATACAATAAGTGACAACGAACACCTGAGAAACTTCATGAATACGAAACCATTCCAAACAATTCTAAACAAAACTCTAGAGAAAAGCAATAAGGGTCACAACTCCATAAGGTCAGCAAAGTGCAGCAATCAGACAAGGAAAATAAATCATGGAAAAAGGGAGAAAATAAAGTTTCAACAATTGGAAAATATCATGAAAATGATAAATAAATGCATATCAGTTATAACCATCTATGCTAAAGGCCTCAATTTACCAATCAAAAATAGACTGGTAAAATGGATTAAGAAGCAAAATCCAACAATATGCTCTATACATGAAACACATTTAATTCAAAAATAAATTCATAAACCAGGCATGGTGGCTCAAGCCTGTAATCCCAACAGGATTACAGCAGGAGAATCACTGTGAGTTAGAGACCAGCCTGGGCACATAGTGAGTTCCAAGTCAGTCTCAACTACATTTAAAACCCTGTCTCAAAAAACCAAAATAAATAAATAAACAAACAAATAAATAAATAGATAAATTCATAGACTGAAAGTAAAAGGATGCAAAACGGTTCTCCATGTGACAGGAACCCAGAAAAAAAAAAGAGGTAGCTATCTTATTTGCAGTTAAAGTAGATTTCAAACCAAACCTAGTTAAGAGAAAAAAGTGCATCATATCCTTGTAATGGGAATAATTTAAGATGGAAAAATGACAATCACAAATATATATGCAACAAATACTAGTGCACCCAACTATATGAAACAAATATTAATGAACAGGCTAAACCAAATAAGCACTGATACGATAGTAGTGGGGGACCTTGATACCTGTTGTCACAAATAGCCAGATCATCTAGACAGAAAATCAAAAACAAAACACTAGAAAGGAACCAAACTTTTGAACAAAAGGTCTTGATAGATGTCTACCAATATTCCAATATTCCAAAATCAGAATACTCATTCTTTTCAGCTTCACATGAGTCATTTTCCAAAATAGACCACATACTACATCACAGATCATGTTTAAGTAAATGCAAAGGAATTGAAGTTATCCTGGATATTGTTAGACCATACTGCAAATAATTTGGAGAGCAATAGCATAAAAAACTGTAAGAACTTCACAAATACATGGAAATTGAATAATACTCTTCCTAAAACCAATGGTTTAAAGAGGAAATTACTGAAGAAATTAGTTTCTACAATGATATAATAATGAAAATACAACATAGAGGAATCTATGTGTCACAGTGAAAGAAGTTCTGTGAGGGAAATTCATAGTAGTGAATTCCCACATTAGGAAAATAGAGCAAACTCAAATAAACAACCCAAAGCTGAACATCATCCTTCTAGAAAATGGAGAACACAAGCTCATTTAACTTATTTCTAAGGTAATGGTCTCCAATGTTGGTATGGAAAATACCTGTGGACCTTGTCAAACTGTGAGAGAAACAGGTTATCTCTTGTCTCCACATTTCTGAAGGGAGACATTATGGACACAAACCACACTGTCCATGTTTGGAAAAAACTGAGAGATGTGATGGTCTGACCACTGATTTTCACACCTTGAGAAAGCTCTGCTAATGCCTTGCAGTAGGGCATAATTAACATTTGGCAATGATCCAAAGTGTCTCATGATATGCTTTAGCGACTTTAAAGGGTTTCTTCTTATTATAAGCATGATTATCTCCATAATTTTTTAGGTATGGCTACTTCTACCCATTAACATGATTACTATAGGTGGAAGGCATGTATCGGAGCAGAGCATAGGGATTGAAAAGCTATAGGTGAGACTTCTTTTCAGAAATATCAAAGTCCCTTTTTCCCAGAGACTAGGACAAACTTTCTATATAGTCCTGGCTGAATAAACCAAAATGCATATAAGAGTGAAACTAATATTTATATGCCGAATTCAATGATTTCAAAATTTATTGGGTGAAATATAAGAAACCCAATATTTCATACTGTAACTGCATTTTGAGAAGGTTATTTGACAAGATAACTCACTTAAAAAGTAGTCCATAGGTTGAGGCCTAAGATTTTATTCAGAGGTCCTTACAAAGAAATTAGAAAACAGACAATGAGAAGAAGATCATGAGGTGATGCTGACATGAAACCAACTAAAAATAGAGACCTCTGGAGGAAACCAGACCTTAATCCATCAACCTCTAAACTCCAAAACTGTGAGAAATTGAATTTTATTTATTAATTAGCCCATTATGTGTGCATTGTTTTTACACCTCCAGAAAGCCTAGACACTGAGATAAATTCTCCCCATAAACACCAAAAGAATGAGTAAATGGCATATTTTATGAGAGTTATCTTTCTGAAAGAGCCACAGATTTAGATTTCTGTCCCGAGACAAAATCATCTCCTGGGTTTGAAGAGACAGCAGGTGTCCTGCAGAACAAGAGCTGGATGAATCTCCATAAAAATGTAAATGAAATCAGGCTCATGGGGACCTGTTTCTCACCGTCTTGTACATATACAGTCCCCACAGCTGCCCCTGGGAGAAACAGTCATGATTAAATCATGAAAAAGGAACTTCGGGTTGCATGGCTGCTTCACTGCGAATGATGTTCAGAATCTCACCTGGATGTGGAAGACAGACGATCTGGTCTCAGAAAGGACAGAATCTTCTACTGAGCTAATGGGTTCTTTATGAAGAAGGAACATATCTGGATGGACCAGCAGCTGTTACTGGTTTGAGTGAGGTTTTCCCTGGCTGACTTCTATGGTCTCTATATCCCTGAGGGGGACACAATATCCAGTGCTCCTCATTAGAACAGAAATGTAATGTTACTGCTATTTCTGACCCAGGGGTGCATGTCCTTAAAGACAATCTAGGCACAGAGGAATACAGGATTGTTGCTCCTGACCTCTGAGTCAGGTGTAATGCATTTATTTATTTTGATTGCTTCTGTTCACCTCTGCTTCATATATCTTGAACACATAACAGATTGAACTTTTCTAATAAATACATATCCTTGTCATACCTCACTTAAATAAAAACATACCTCAATTATCATGGGGTCTTTTAATTTCCTCTGTGGGGAAATATGTGTTCATCTTGTATTTATCCTAATGTTCATATTTTTATTTGTAAATGATAATTATGTATTTGGAATAGCAACTCTTTGCATTTGTATTGTGCAAATAAATTTTCTGTCTCCCTCTTTTTTGGTGATATTGGCATTAAATTGAGGGCATTTTAACTGAATTACAAGACCAGCCCTACATTTCTCTCTCTCTCTCTCTCTTTTAAAATTTTTTAGAAGTGGGTTACTCAGTTACTAAATTACCCATGCTTTTCTACAAAGCATAAGTCTCCTGAATCAGCCTCTCAGAATGTTGAGTTTACAGGACTGTACTATAAAGCCTGAATTAACAATTTATTATTTAAGACTGCCACTTTTTCATGCATTTTATGATATTTAATATGTGAGCACAGATTTTTAATTTTACTATGGTTTTCTTTTTCAGTGTTTTCTCTTAAGGTCCACATTCAATAGGTCTTGATCTATAAGGGAATTTGTAGTCTCATGATTTAGTGTGATATATCTATACCTATTTCTAGATATACTTTATTTGAGTTTAAATGTGCTGTCCACCTTCCTGATATTGTAAATAAATATGGGCATGATTGCAAAGAAACTTTGGGGGACAAATTCATGTCCTGTGCAGAAGGAGGGGGAGACTGCTTGTCAATGGCCTTCTTGATGGATGTGTAGAGAAAGAGGACAGAGGATGTAATCGTGGCAGGTGATGATGAGGGATCAGCCAATACCATATTGGAAACAGTAAGTTTTGAGAATTAATACTTCATTTTTTCAAGTAGTTGTTCCAGTAATCTCACATACCAAGCATTTCACACACAATGAATGAGTTCCCCGGTTAGACATTTGTATTAATTAGTTATTGATCTTCCTCAAGTATGCTAGCTCTTTAAGTAGGCATCATAATTTGCTCACTGACCTTGAAATCTTTCTTAATTTCCCCCATACAGCTGAAGAAGATTGTGCACAGCTGTATCTGAAGTGTATTTATTTTTCCTTCTAACATTTGTCTTAGGGCACACTGAAAATAGTGTTATTTTTCTCAACTTTCATATCCTCACATGTATTCTTCCTTTCTTTTCTCTGCTGGGAAAAATGTGAAAATACCACTTTAACAGACATAGATTTAATCTTCATCCACTTTTGAAAAAGCTTCATCATAACAAACCTCATAAGTGTACAGAGTCTCCTCTCATCTTAATTGTGGTTCCCATTTTGATCCTACAACTAAGCGATGAAGTCCTTTTGAACCTTTAGAT